GGAGGGGTGTGCCGTGCCGAAAGAAAAGGGGTCGGGGCGGAGGGGCGCGCAGGCGGTTGGGTGGGGGGATGCGGAGGGGGTGTGCCGTGCCGAAATAAAGGGGCCGGGGCGGAGGGGTATGCCGTGCCGAAAGAAAAGGGGTCGGGGCGGAGGGGCGCGCTGGCTGGGGGGTGGGGGGATGCGGAGGGGGTGTGCCGTGCCGAAATGAAGGGGTCGGGGCGGAGGGGTGTGCCGTGCCGAAATGAAGGGGTCGGGGCGGAGGGGCGCGCTGGCTGGTGGACATTGTGGGTGATGGAGGGGATGCCGTGCCGAAATAAAGTGGTCGCAGCTCTAGACACCCTGTGCCCTGTGCAAGAGAATAGACACAGATCCCAGGATCCCCCACATTTCCCATATTTTCTGGGGTGTTGTCTTCCCCCCACACTTCCCATGTTTTCCCAGATCTTCCTGGGAGACGATTAGCTGTGTCTGTGTGTTCCTTTCCCTCCCGGATAACGTCGCGGGGGGGGGGGCACTGCATCAACACACACACAAACCCTCGGAGCTCCGCGCAGAGTTCCTGGCTCGGCGCTGGGCCCCGTCCCTGGCGCGCCTCTGGCGCCTCCGGCGGGGGTGAGGGGGACAGCACCGCCCCGACCAGAGGAATCCACGCGGACGCTCGAGAGGCCAGGTCTGCGACGTCCTGATTTTCTTCATGCGGCGCCCCCGGAAGCCCCGACCCGTTCCCCGGGACCGGCTCCGCCTCCCGAGTCGCTCTTTGACGGCCTCGGGGCCCGGCGAGGGCTCCCAGAGAGCTAGCGGCGAAAAGCCTCCGCCCCGGTTTTGGTTGACGACGCGACCACGTCTGGGAGGGACCCCTGTTAGCCTTAGGTCGGGCGTGTCCCCCTACAGGCGGATGTTGGACGAAAAATACCCCCAAAGAGTACCTCCCTAAAATATCCCAAAATTGTCCCAAAAATCCTCCCAAGACTTCTAAACATATAGAATTTGTTTGAATACCCCCCCTGTGGAGGGACAGGCCCGACTCAATGCTGGCCCGTTTGGCGTCTGCGCCCAGCCGGCTGCCGAGCGGGCTCCAGACCGAGCCCGCTCGGCGGCCGAGCGGGCCCCGTCCCCACGCACCTCTCGGAAGGGAGCCCGCTCGGCTGCTCCCTCGGCGGCCGGCGGCGCGCGGGCGCCGACGGGGCTCCACAGGGAACCCCGGGGCTGCGGTCCCAGACACGCTCGCGCCGCGAGAAATTCGGGACGGAGATTTTCCATCGTTTTCGGCCCCCGGGGGGCCCTCGCCGGGCCTCGGGGCCGTCAAGAAAGGATTGAGGACAGAAACCGGTCCTGGGGAAGGGTCGGGACTTCCAGGGACGCCGTCCTGAAAAAATCAGGACGTCGTATGTCTGGGGTGGGGGCGTTGGTTAAGGAATGTGCCCAGGAGGCTTCAGACCCTGGGGGATTCCTTATCTGATGAGGGCGGCAATGGTACCCATGGCCAATCCACGATCGGAGCTCCACCGGCTTCCAGACCCTGGCTTCCTTATCCAATAATTCCTTATCCAATGCCCTCGCCGTATGCTCACGCAGTTAGAGTGAAGCCGGGCATGTCCCTCTACAGGGGGGATCGTCAAACATAGTAAAACAATAACCCGGGGCTATTTGTTGATTATTGTTGGTTAGTGCTTTGGCATATTCGTTGGGTATTTTCAAGTTGTCTTCCGATATCCACCTGTAGGAGGACATGCCCGACCTAATTTTAGAGGAACAGACAGCAGCATAACCACAAACTTGTGCGGAGCTCCTTGCGGATTCCTCGGACCTGCGCTGGGGCACCCTGGCGGCGCCTCCAGCGCCTCCGCGCGCCAGGCGGGGAGGACCCAAGAAATCCGCGAGGAGCTCCGAACAAGCTTACGCTTCTGCCGTGCATTACCCTCCGTTGATGCTGCGCGCGTGCGCGCGCACCTCTTGAACGCCTCGTCGAACCCTATCCTCTGCTCGAACATCAGGTACCTCCGCCGTTCTCCGGGCGCCCGCCGGGGGCCCCCCGCGGAGGTGCCCCGCCCGCGCGGGCACCGCTCCCACGGGGGCCGCATGGGGGGCCGCAGGGAGGCCTCAAGAGAAGCCCCGGAACATCCCCGGACGGCACGGCCTCCGGACCTCGAAGCGCCGATGGCGCGAGATCATACTTGCGAGGGTACGAATGAGGGGATCAAAATGAAGGGGCGCCAGGACACACAAATAAATACACGCAAATAAAAAGATTCCCCATATTTTCATATATTTTCTGGGTGTTTGTCTTCCCCACCACTTCCCATATTTTCCTATATTTTCTGGGGGATCGACGATTAATTGTGTCTGTGTGTTCTTTTCCCTCCTGACAAAAAGTGGCATAAACAGAAAAACTCGGAGGTCCGCGCGGATTTCTCGGATCGGCGCCGGAGGCGCCGCCGGGGGGCCCCAGCGCCGATCCGAGAAATTCGCGCGGACCTCCGAGTTTTCATGTCTATGCCACTTGTTGTTCCCCTATGAACGACCCCAAGGGGTATAACAATTTTCGTTTACAAACATCCTCGGGGGTGTTCACACCCTCGGTTCTCTGTTAATGCCCTCGGGCTGTTGTTTTATCCTCGCAGTTCTGCCCAGCCGCTGCCCTGCCCGCGCGCTGCGCAGCCTGCACGCGGGAGCTCCGCGGCCGCTTCTGGCCAAGAAGAGGACCCAGAGTCCGAAACCAGTCGCCAACAAATAGTGTTAGGTCGGGCCTGTCCCCCCCTACAGGGGGATTTTGGGCGAAAAATTAAAAGATAATCAGAAAAATATGCAAAACATGCTGAACAATGTTAAGATAATCCCCCGACCATTTTTCCCTACCTAGGCTCTGCCTAGAAGGGTTCTTGCTTTAGAGCTTAAAGGGGCCGGGCAGTGCTACCCGCCCCGGGCGGTTCCCCCGGCATCCGCCCCGCGGTTCCCCCAGTTACGCCCCCTGGGTTCACCCAGCTTAGCTTAGCTAAGCTTAGCTGGGCTTAGCTTAGCTTAGCTCATCTCATCTCATCGTAGCTTAGTTTAGCTTAGCTTATCTTAGCTTAGCTTAGCCTAGCCTAGCCTAGCCTAGCTTAGCTTACCTTAGCTTAACTTAGCGCAGCATAGCGCAGCGACGCATTAGCACAGCATAGCATAGCATAGCATAGCCAAGCATAGCATATCATAGCATAGTATAGCATAGCATAGCGCAGCATAGCATAGCACAGCATATAATAGCATAGCATAGCATAGCATAGCATAGCATAGCATAGCATAACATAGCATATCATAGCATAGCATTGCTTAGCATAGCACAGCGCAGCATAGCATAGCACAGCACAGCACAGCATAGCATAGCGCAGCATAGCATAGTATAGCGTGTAATGTAGATGTTGCTTTCCTAAATGCTCCAACTCCTAGGTAGGGTCGCACTGGGATAATTTGACTATTTTTGAAGATTCCCGCTGTAGAGGGACAGGCCCGACTTAAAGATAGTGGCTGAGATCGGGAATGCACTCCATGGCACGAGATCGTGATGCTGGATGCTGGGTGCTGGAGCTCCAGGAGACGAGACGCCCACAAACAGGAACCCAAACACGCGGACCCTGGAAACGAAACTCGAGCCTCGATGCCACGAGGCCACGACGCCTGCGCTTCGAGGGAAGGGCGGCCAAGAACGCACAAAAAACGCCCGGCATCCTCGAGGCACCGGGGGCAGGAGCGCACGAGGCCGGAGCTCCGAGGGACGGGACGCCACGGGCACACAACGGAAGGCACAGTCCTTTCGAACCGTGAGGCCTCGACGGCACTCGAGACCACGACCTCTGGAGGTCCAGAAGAAGAAGAAGAACGGCCAACCATGCTCGTACCCGGAATCTGCGATCCTCGAACCTCGAGGCCCCGATGCACAAAAGGCGCCGCGGCCGGCATCCTTCAGCCCGCCGCCTCGCAGAGATGGACGGCAGAGGCCCAGATGAGAGGTGCCCAACTCGACCGATCGGATGCTCGGAGCCGTCTCGAGAATGCGGGGGGGGGGAGGGAGTTCGTGCACGACGTCGGCAGCATGGCACGAGATCACGATGCTGGAGCTCCGCGAGATGCCCTTGGCGCAGTACACGAAGGCGCGGCCATTCTTGGCCCGCGCGCCGGCGAGGAAGGACAGGGCGCCGGGCAGCACCTCCAGTATGTTCGCCGACGGCTCGTCGATGATCGGCACCCGCCCGTACTTGAAGAGCTTGGCGTGCTGCTCCTCGGAGCAGGAGGGCCCCCTCGCGCCTTACAAAAAAAACACGGCGGACGGCTGGTCCTTCTAAGTTTCTGCCTCCAGGGGCACTCACCGGGCCTCAGGGCCGTCAGACAACGGCTCAGGATGAAACACCGGTCCCCTGGAAGTGGTCCAGGCCTCCGCGGGTCACGTCATGGATGCATCATGACGTTGGAGGTCTGGGGAGGAAGACGTGTCCGAACGTTTCGCACCCCGCGCTTTTTCCTCGGTCTTGGTCTCTGGCAGGCCTGGCCTGGATCGCATAGCGAAAACCGATTGGCTCGGAAACGAAACGGATCACCCGCCAACAAATCGACCCGCAGCGAAACGAACTCGGATCGCCACGCTTGGCTCTGGCTGGCCCCGGCACATGCTGGTGAATTGAGCGGGCTCGAGTCGCAATCGCAAGCCCAGCTGGCGAATCGGCTGCGGCTCCCCGGAGGAGGAGGAGGAGGAGGCGGAGGAGGAGGAGGAGGACGAGGAGGAGGAGAAGGAGGAGGAGGAGGAGGAGGAGGATACGATCAGATATCTTGCTCTCCGAACTCCTAAGGCGCATTCTTCGGCGGCCTCTGCGAGTCCTCTGGTGCCCCAAGGCTCCTGTGGGTCCCTGGGGCCGTCGGGGGATACTGACTGTCCGTTGGAGACCTTTCGGCAGCCCGATTTCTCATCCACTCTGAGGGGGGACGAGGAGGAGGAAGAGGAGGAGGAGGAGGAGGAGGAGGAGGAGGAG